TTTAAAATGCGTGTTCTCTGAATGGAGAGATCTCCATTCGATCAGATCAGGCTAAACAAACCTGTATCTGCTCCGTCCAAACTCAAAACATCGTCCTAAAGACTTAAAGCACTACACTGGCTACCCGTGGAACTGAGGATCCAATTCAAGGTCTCCGTCCTCACCCACCAGTGTGTCCATGGAACTGCCCCTCCCTACCTCAAGGAACTCCTCACCCCGCATACCTCCTTGCGGACCACCCGCTCCAGCAACTCCAACCTCCTCAAACCCCCCAGGACTAAGCTCCGTACTATGGGAGACCGGGCCTTCTGCTCGGCTGCCCCCAGTCTGTGGAATGCTCTCCCCGAGCACATGAGAGCACCATAGACAGTGGAGGCCTTTAAAAAAGGCCTCAAAACTCACCTGTTCAATAGAGCCTTTCCCTAGACCTCTTATTTATTTACTACCCCCCTTTTATTTTATTTTATTTGTATTGTTTGTTTTTATTGCTTTTTATTAATTTTACCGTGTTGTGTAATGTTTTTATACTGTTCATGCTCACTGCTTGTAGCACTTCGGGATTTGAAGTCAAATATGAAGTGCTTTATAAATGAAACCCATTATTATTATTATTATTATTATTATTATTAGTGATTACTGGTTCCATGTTGATTTATTTCAATACAAATTGTTAGGGGGAACTGAAAGGCTCTTACCGTACTGGTTACTTTGCACCCCGGACATTTCCCCCAAAACACATTTAGACGCAATCGCAACAAAGAAGTACCTTTGAAATCCGATCATTTTTAAGACCTTTCTAATTTTTATGATCATATTTAAGACTTTTTAAGGCCTTAAATTCTGATTATCAAATGTAAGACTTTTTAAGACCCAGCGGGAATCATGAATTAATGTCCGTATGGCACTGCTGCTAACATCTGCCTTTTTATCTGTGGCCAGGTTGAAGTGCTCAGGGTGACGCAGAGATGTTTTTATTGAGCCAGTCTGCCATTTTGGGAATTCTGGAGACGGGGAGGGCCAACAACAGTTGCTACGGCACCCAGAGGGGACACCTGACACAGCAGGTTAGCTGGCTGGGTGCTCCTCTGACACTTTTGGTCTGCTCTCTATCCATCAAATGCATACATGCCCACACATGGACACACATGAAACAAGACTGATAGAAACACACAATGTGAGATGCACAGGGAAAATAAAAACACATTCCCTGAGGACTAAAAACATCACTTTGTGTGACATCAGGAGACGTGTTGCTTTGCCGCAGAATTTGCCCGACCCAAGACGACCATGTTTGCTGTCAACATCCTGTCTCCCCAAGACATCACATCGCTATGGCCGTCTGTTTATATGCCAGCAGCTGGTGAGCCAAGGCCAATACGCAATGTAAGCACTTCCCAATCTACACCCTAATGACACAGTGTGTAAATATGTGTGAGAAAAACCATAAAGAAAGATACTGTCACTATCGTTCTTTGGCTATGTGACAGATTTTCTTCCTTTTTTATCCCTTAAGGAATTTTTACATTTCTAAGGCTATTGTGTACGTGAGGATGAATCTCAGTGTTACTCTGTATAGACAGCATATTAGACAGGGTTCAAAGCCGCAACAGCATCCCTAAGAGACTGCCTCATGTGGGTCACAACAGTCCCTTTTGGGAGGGAGATTTCACAGGAAACTGCTTTTTCAAATTTGGCACCTGTAACACTTAACACAATTTCCCATTGGAGGCATCTTTCATGATAACTTGTTATATTTTCTTCTTATTCCGGCTACATAGACATTTTAGAATGCAGTGTTCCACTGGGATAGGGTAGTGGAGATATTTTACAATACAAAAATCAAGAAAACAAAGTAGTTCTGAATGTGTCGTGAGTATTGAGTATTTTGTACCATTTAGAGAATCAGAAAATATGCTCAATCTGGGTCACAGGAACTTCAACAAGGGACCTCTCCTTTTTCTTTCTCCTCTCTACAAAATATTACCTCACCCTCTTTACACACCTCTTGTCTCAGTTAGGAAGCTGCCACCCTCTTCAAACAATCTCTCACTTTTCCCCCTACGTATTCCTCCGCCCTTTTGTGCCTGAGCCTCATGCGAGGTTTTGCTTTCCTAATGCGTAACATCTCTGTTTCCCCAGGACGCCACCCTTCCAGATGATGACTGGAACCTTCAAAGCATGTGCCGGAGCCCTTCAAAGCGGGCGCCCCAAAAATAGTTAAGATTGTATCTAGCTCACATAAATGAATCAAAGCTATTCTACACACCAAAGTACCCCCGTTTCCTTCTCCCATTTCCTTTCCTCAGTCCCCATAACCTCCTAAAAACTTCAGACGTGCCCCAGCCCCTCGGCAGACAAACACAAAACGCAACAAACAACAACAAAATAACAACTCTTCAATTCTTGATCAAGCAGAGGAAAAGGAAATAAATGTTTGACAAAGACAACAGCGGCAAGGAGGGCGGAAGGAAAGTGGAATAAAAGGAATACGATATGGGCTGTGCATTACTGTTTATTGATGAAAGAAAACACATTTGGATGATGACATTCACTTGCCGTTGTTAACAGGCTGCTTCGCTGTTCTTTCCTGAGTGGTGAGAGCTTTTGTTAGTGTAAGGCTCCTCTCTGGAGCGTGTGCTGTTGCGAAAAGGGCTGCATTTCCATCATAATAACAACTGAAAAGAGTAAACTGTCACAAGGCACTTCCTTTTCTGGCTTTGATGCATGCCCCTCGGTCTGGCCTCGCTGTGCCGACGAATGAGCAAGAGAATACACTTCTCTCAATGCCAAAACAAAGCCTCCAAATATAGGATCACTGCTGTGACAGAGAATGTCACAGTCCCATTGCTCTTTATGTCAACTACAGTAAATATCATGGCCGCATTAGCCCAATTCTTCCTGCTGTTTGAAACAATTAGGATACAAAGACAGTGTTTTTTTGATAATGCAGGTGGACCTCATCATGGATTGCGATTGTTCAGCCGGACAGCATCAATGTAGAAAACTGATGGGCTAAATTTAAATGATTAATGCACCAGAGCTTCAAGGCTTTGACAAACGTCTATTTCAGTATGCAGGTTAGACACTGGACTGGTGCTTACCAAGAATGCAAAATGTCTTCCTTTGAACAACCATGAACGAAGCTAACGGAACCCAATGGAGAGAGAAATGAACTGAGAGCTTCTGCAAAAACAAAATCCTCATAATTCAGGCTGTAATAGAATACCATGATTTCAGTTAAATAACAAGTCAGGGAAAAAGCACACTCAGCCGTGACTCATGGAGTGTTTTGACCTCCTTTTAAGTCTGTATGTGTAATAATGTTGCGTCTGGATCTGAGGCCTGACTTTTAAACACCTCTGCATGCTTTCCCAACATCGAGTGTCCTTTTTCTGTATCCTGCATAAAAGCCGTGTTCAACAGCCATGCCTAGCTGGCAGATTCACATGGTGCTGGCCTTGATTCAATACTGGCCGCACAATGCCAGGAGCTACAATGGCAGACTCACTGCAGAGCTGGACGCTATGCGATGGGAGATTGTTTGCCTCGGGAAGGCTGCTTGGCTCTTCCTGCCTTTCAGACCAGAACCTGTAATTACCTAAAATAAGGCAGGCATGGTCTAAATATGAATGTCTTGATAAATAAACCAGGGCTCTCACAGATTGTTCTATGAAAATCACTTTTAGTGGTACATGGGAGACTGAAATCATGAATAATGTGTATTTCCTGAAGCTCACTTCTCTCTCCACTGTGTTACCAATTTGATCTACAAATTCATTACTTTGAAGGTTCAAATTCAACACAGATAGTTCCCAAACTACCCCTGCTCCTACCTGAAGGGAAACGTTCGATGACCGGCTGGTTGTCCACCTGTAGCGTGGCATTACCACCACTCCGTGTGAATCGCACCACGTGGTATTTGCCGTCGCTCACCATCACTGCGCTCTCCTCGATGATTATGTCGTCTGTTCCCACGTTGAAGATAACGCCGATCTTTCCCCGTTCCTATAGACAGAAGATGATGGAGAACATTATGAGGAGATTGCAAAAACAACTGGTCGCATGTGGAAAAAGATATCCTTTTAAATATCCCCTAACGTGGTACTTAAAACTTTAACCACATCTTTCATTTGTGCCTATCAAATAGAATTGCCTCCATAACTAACACAATTAACAATTGAATTTGCTCCATTCTTTTCTAATCTCTCGTCCCAACACCCTGGTTCAAAAGTAGCATGGTCATCAGGTCAACATCACTTTGGCTGATGACTTCATCCATGTTTGCTGCTAAATGACGAATGATAGAATGCTCACACGATAAAGGGATTTCACCTGCTGAACACGACATTGCTAGCATTGTCATTGTGAGCATATCAGCATGCTTGCGTTTAGCTTCAAACAATGCTGTGCCTAAGTATGCAGTATAATTGAAACTTGGTACAGCGTTGTCTACATGGCTGTAGACTTTTAGTGTCTTTCTTCTATGGGAACCTTTGTCGCAAGATGTTATACTAAGCCGAAACCACAATTCAGTAGGTAAATGAAACACTCTCTCTTACTGATACCCTGTTTATATGTCTGACAATCAATGCCCAAAGATAAC